TGATATGAATAAACTGACAGAGAAAGATTTCCGAATATGAATTGCTACAAAACTAAATGGAATTGAAGAGAAAATAGAATCACAACATAGAGAAACCACAAGAACAATACCGGAAATGAATGAAAGATTCTCCAAAGAAATTGAGACTATTAAGAAAAACCTGGGAAGTAGAAAATGGCGGATTAGGGCTGACCTTTTGACTCTCAGTTCTCGGGGTGAGGGGTGAAGAGGACAGATGACCACACGTGGACCACCTGCACCTACTCTGGAGCAGACTCGCAGAACTGCAAAGAGACACCGGGATATGGAAATTGTGGACAACAATTAAAGGTGAACCAAAATTCTTTCACAAAACCCAGGGACTCAGAACTATAGTGGGAAGGGAGCCCGCCCGTGTGCCAGCCGCCCCATGGGCTGGCCGGAGGAGGCACCCCTTCTCTCCCACACACGGAGATGATCTCTTCCCCACTGGTCCCCACGCCCACACAGGCAGGGAACTGCCTGACATTGATGGGAGGTGGCAACGTGGGCAGACGAGCGGTTTGGAGAGAAGTCTGAAACAGGCAGCATTTAGAACTCTACACAGCGCCCCGCCGAAGCAGTGGGGAGTGCAGGAAGGGTCTGAACCCAGCCCTGGCGGCTTGGAGACTCTGCACAGAGTCACGTGAGAGACGTTCTCCCAGCATCCTTGGGGCAGATCAGCTCGGGAGGCGTTTTCTAGGCTTCCCCAGAATCCCAATGCAGCTGATCTGTTCCTGCTTCAGGAAAGAGCAGCCTAACAAGCCCACAGCACCTCAGGAGCGGTAGTGGGTAGGGAGAAGGGCCCAGCTCTGCAACTGCTCCTCCGCCCTGCTACTCTACCCCTGCAGCTTGGAGAAGTTGTGGAGGACCGCGCAGGATAAGTTTGCCAGGCATCCCTACTACCCTAAGCCAGACAAACTCTTCCAGCAGCTGGAGAAGGCACCTCTTAATCGCCAGAACTCCACTGAACCGGTAGCAGCAGAAGAAAGAGTCCAAATCCTGCAGCCACTTCCTAGCACTGCCGCACTGCCCCGAAGCTTGACGAAGCTGTGGTGGGCAGTGCTCAAGTGTTTCCCTGGCACCTCTTCTACCCTAAACTGGCTGATCTGTTCAGGCATCCGGAGAAAGCAACTTGTTGAGCTCCCAGCACTCTGCTGAAGCAGAAGCAAGTGGGAGAGGATCCGAACCCAAGAGCTTCTTTCCCACTCCACTGAGCCACTCCTTAGCATGAAAACACTGCAGAGGACAGCCCTGGTAGTAAACTCAGTCTTCCCCCCTGCCCTAACTGGGCAAGTGGCCTCGAAAGCTGAATTTATAAGGGTGGAAAGTTGAGAGTGGTGCTTCATTCGGCAGCTTTCTCACAAGTTTGAACCTGAGGGGTATCTTGCTACACTCAGTGGTTTGCATTCTGTGCCCAGAGAGTAGAGCCTGTCATAGCAAGGTAGATAAGCAAAGGAGGCTGCTAGTCCTGAAGACTCGAAGAACCCTTGGGAAAGGTGATACACAAGCAGAACACATCCTCCTCAGGTCTCCCATGGATCATTCCTTTGGAACCCAAGTACACAGCCTATAATTGACTTCCAGCACCTCTGGTCCTCAAAAAAGTATCCAGATGAGGAAGAACCAGTGAAAAACTTCAGGAACCATGAAATATCAGAGAGAAAATTCACCTCCAAAAGAAAATAATCATTCTCCACCAACAGACACCAATTTACATGATATGATTAAACTAACAGATGAAGAATTCTGAATATGGATTGTTAGAAAGCTCAACGGAATTGAAGAGAAAATAGAATCCCAACATAGAGAAACCACAAGAACAATCCAGGAAATGAATGAAAAATTCTCCAAAGATATAGAGGTAATTCAGAGAAACCAAGAAGAAATTCTAGCAATGAAGGAAACATTCAAGGAACTCCACAACACAGTGGAAAGCCTCAAAAACAGGATAGATCATGCTGAGGAAAGAATCTCAGAGCTTGAAGATTATACCTACACACTAAACAAATCAGAAGAAGAAAGGGTACACAGAAACAAGAGACAAGATCAAAGCTTACAGGAAGTATGGGATTATGTAAAAAAGTCAAACCTCAGAATGATTGGCATTCCAGAAGGGAAAGAGGAACACTCACTAGGGTTGGAAAACTTATTCTACGGCATACTGGAGGAAAATATGCCGGGCCTAGCTAGAAATCTGGATACCCAAATTCAAGAAGTGCACAGAACCCCTGGGAGACACAATGCAAATAGGCAATCGCCTCGTCATGTGGTATTAAGTTGACCAAAGTAAATGTGAAAGAAGCAATCCTCTGTACAGCAAGGCGTAAACAACAAATAACCTACAAAGGAATGCCTATCAGACTAACCACAGACTTCTCATCTCAAACCTTACAAGCCAGGAGGGAGTGGGTGCCTAACCTTAATCTTCTAAAACAGAACAGAGCCCAACCTAGAATACTTCATCTGGCAAAATTAAGTTTCATCTATGAGGGTGAAATAAAATCCTTCTCAGACAAACAATCACTGAAGGAATATGCAAAGACCAGACCAGCACTACAGGAAATTCTCAGACCTGCCTTCCACAGTGAACACGGCAATAGGCACTACTCAAAATAAAATCCACAAAGAATTAAAGTCTAGATCTAGAACTTCATGACGACTCACTCTCTAAGTCAAAGCAACAGGACTTCACCCATCAATATGAATGGAAATCTTCCTCTAATTTCAATCCTCTCAATAAATGTAAATGGTTTAAACTGTCCTCTGAAGACACATAGGCTGGCAGAGTGGATGAAATTCCACAAGCCTAGTATTTGCTGTCTACAGGAAACACACCTAAACCATAAAGATGCCTCCCGGCTGAAGATCAAGGGATGGAAAACTATCATCCAAGCAAACGGAAGTCAAAAGAAAGCAGGGTTGCTATATCATCCACAGACAACATTAGTTTTAAAGTAACAAAAGTTAAAAAGGATAAAGAAGGCCACTTCATAATGGTGAAAGGGAAGATCCAACAAGAAGATCTAACAATTCTTAATATTTATGCTCCCAATTCAGGAGCACCCAATTACATAAAGCAAATCTTGTCAGAGCTAAATTCTATCCTAAACAATACTGCCATAGTAGCAGGGAACTTCAATACACCACTAAATGAACTGCATAGATCCTCCAAAGAGAAATTAAGTAAAGAAATAAGGGACCTAATCAAAGATATTGAAAAAAAAATATCTGACAGACCTATACAGAACATTTCACCCAAATAAAGTTGAATTTACATTCTTCTCAGCAGTTCATGGACCCTTCTCAAAAATTGATCCCATACTAGGCCACAAAGCAGATCTCAAAAAATTCAAGAAAATAAGAATAATACCCTGTGTCTTCTCTGACCATAGTGGTATAAAATTAGAGTTCAACTCTAACAGAAATACACACCACATCACTAAGTCATGGAAACTAAACAACCTACTGTTGAATGACTATTGGGTCAAGGAGGAAATTCAGAGAGAAATCAAGAATTTCTTCGAACAAAACAACAATGGAGCCACATCTTACCAAAACCTTTGGGATACAGCAAAAGCGTATCTGAGAGGAAAACTAATAGCAATAAATGCTCACATCCAAAAAACAGAAAGATTAGACACCAACAACCTAATGAATAGACTCAAGGAATTGGAAAAAGAAGAGCAAACCAATTCCAATCCTGGCAGAAGAAAAGAAATATCTAAGATAAAAGCTCAACTAAATGAAATGGAGAATAAGAGAACTATATGGAAGATCAACAAAACCAGAAGCTGGTTTTTCAAAAAGATCAACAAAATTGACAGCCCTCTGGCTAGGCTGACAAGAACTCAAAGGGAAAGGACTCTAATAACCTCAATAAGAAATGAAAAAGGAAAGATCACAACAGACTCCACAGAAACACAAAACATTATGTTTGACTACTATAGAAATCTATATGCCCAAAAACTGCAGAATGAAGATGAAATGGACAGATTCCTGGAATTGCACAACCTCCCTAAGTTCACCCAGGAGAAAAATGAGTTCCTGAACAGACCAATCACAAGCTCAGAAATTGAAGCAGTAATTAAAATCCTCCCCAAATGGAAAAGTCCTGGGCCAGATGGCTACACCCTGGGGTTCAACCAAACATTCAAGGATGAACTCGTACCTATACTACAGAAACTATTCCACACCATTGAGAAGGATGGTACCCTTCCTAACTCATTCTACGAAGCCAATATCACCTTGATACCAAATCCAGGAAAGGATGCAACAAAAAAAGAAAATTATAGACAAATATCCCTCATGAATACAGATGCAAAAATCCTAAACAAAATTTTAGCAAATAGAATTTAGCAGCACATCAAAAAGATAATCCACCATGACCAAGTGGAGTTTATTCCTGGCATGAAAGGCTGGTTCAACATACGCAAGTCTATAAATGCAATCCACTTCATAAATAAAGCCAAGAACAAAGACCATATGATTCTGTCAATAGATGCAGAAAAAGCATTTGATAAAGTCCAACATACCTTTATGATATAAACCCTTAACAAAATAGGCATAGATGGCACATACCTTAAATTTATCAAATCCATCTATGACAAACCAATGGCTAACATCATTCTAAATGGGGAAAAATTGAAATCATTCCTGCTTCGAACCAGAACTAGACAAGGATGCCCACTTTCTCTTCTCCTATTCAACATACTACTTGAAGTCTTACTACTTGAAGCAATCAGGCATGAGAGGGGTATTAAGGGCATCCAAGATGGGTCAGAAGAGATCAAACTCTCACTCTTTGCCGATGATATGATATTATATCTAGAAAACCCCATGGACTCATCCAAGAAACTCCTAGATCTGATAAATGAATTTGGTAAAGTTTCAGGGTACAAAATCAATATACACAAATCAGAAGCTTTCATATATGCCAAAACCCATCAAGCAGAAACTCAAATCAAAAACGCAGCTCTTTGCCTTATCTCCCACGAGAATGAAGACCATTCTCAGCAATCAGACTGTCGACATTCCAGAAAATGTGGACATCACTCTTAAGGGACGTACAGTTATCGTGAAGGGTCCCAGAGGAACCCTGCAGAGGGACTTCAATCACATCAATGTAGAACTTAGTCTCCTTGGAAAGAAAAAGAAGAGGCTCCGAGTTGACAAATGGTGGGGAAATAAAAAGGAACTGGCTACTGTTTGCACTATGTGTAGTCATGTACAGAATATGATCAAGGGTGTCACACTGGGTTTTCATTACAAGATGAGGTCTGTGTATGCTCACTTCCCCATCAACGTTGTTATCCAGGAGAATGGGTCTCTTGTTGAAATACGAAATTTCTTAGGTGAAAAATACATCTGCAGGGTTCGGATGAGGCCAGGTGTTGCTTGTTCAGTATCTCAAGCACAGAAAGATGAGTTGATCCTCGAAGGAAATGACATTGAGCTTGTTTCAAATTCGGCTGCATTGATTCAGCAGGCCACAACCGTTAAAAACAAGGATATCAGAAAATTTGGGGATGGTATCTATGTCTCTGAAAAACGAACAGCTCAGCAGGCTGATGAATAAGATCTAAGAGTTGTCCAGCCACATTAAGACACCACATGATTACTAAGATGTATTTGTAATTTTGATGGTGCAATAAAAGAGCTGTTGGTCTGGGGGAAAAAAATGCAATATCCTTTACTATAGCTCCAAAGAAAATTAAATATCTAGGAATATATCTAACGAGAGATACGAAAAATTTATATAAGGAGAACTATGAAACACTAAAAAAAGAAATTGCAGATGATTTAAACAGATGGAAAAATCTACCATGCTCAGGAAGAATCTACCATGCTCCTACCATGCTAGGAAGAATCAATATTGTTAAAATGTCAATATTACCTAAGGTGATCTACAGAATCAATGCAATTCCCATCAAAATACCACCAGAATTCTTTACAGATCTAGAAAAAATAATCCTTCACTTTGTATGGAACCAGAGAAAACCACACATAGCCAAAGCAATCTTAAGTAAGAAAAACAAACTGGGAGGGATCAGTCTTCCTGACTTTAAGCTGTACTATAAGGCAATAACAGTAAAATCTGCCTGGTACTGGCACAAGAACAGAAACATCGATATCTGGAATAGATATGAGATTCCAGACATCAAACCATCTGTATATGGTAACCTAATCTTTGATAAAGCAGACAAAATATACTATGGGGAAAAGATTCTCTTTTCAATAAATGGTGCTGGGAAAACTGGTTAGCAATATGCAGAAAAGCAAATCAGGACCCCAACCTCTCACCCCTCACAAAAATTCACTCAAGATGGATAACAGACCTAAACCTAAGACACAAAACTTTAAGAATTCTAGAGGAAGATCTTGGGAAAACCCTATCAGATATTGGTCTAGGCAAAGAATTTATGAGGAAGACCCCCAAGGCAATCACCACCACAGCTAAAATAAACAAATGGGATCTGATCAAATTAAAAAGTTTCTGCACTGCCAAGGAAACGATAATTAAATAGACAACCCACAGAATGGGAAAAATATTTGCTCTCTACACTTCTGATAAGGGACTAATAACAAGAATCTATCTAGAACTTAAAAGAATAAACAAGAAAAAATCAAACAATCCCATCAAGATATGGGCAATGGAAATGAACAGAAACTTCTCCAAAGAAGACAGATCAATGGCATGCAAACATATAAAAAATCTTCAACATCTCTAATCATTAGAGAAATGCAAATAAAAACCACAATGAGATAACACCTAACCCCAGTGAGAATGGCCTGTATCACGAAATCCCAAAACAACAAATGCTGGCGAGGATGCGGAGAGACAGGAACACTCTTACACTGCTGGTGGGACTGCAAATTAGTGCAACCTTTGTAGAAAAGAATTTGGAGATTCCTCAAACAACTAAAAATAGAAATACCATTTGACCCAGCAATAGCATTGTTGGGCATCTATCCAAAAGAACACAAGTCACTCTATTATAAAGACATCTGCACCCAAATGTTTATAGCAGCACAATTCACTATTGCATGGACATGAAAACTACCCAAGTGCCCGTCAACTCATGAATGGATAACTAAAATGTGGTATATACTCACAATGGAATATTACTCAATCCTAAGAAACGATAGTGAACTAGCACTGTTTATGCTATCGTGGATTAAGCTTAAGCCTGTAATACAAAGCAAGATGACACAAGACCTGGAAAATGGGCTACACATCTACTCACCATCAAATTGGTCCTGACAGCCTAAAACTATGGTGTTCAAATAATTGTAGTGTTCAACAGGGATCTGGGTGGGGGAGACCCACATCTTAAGGATGTAATGAGCATTGTAGGAGGGAAAGGATTACCTCTATCCCTTTTTAGGGAGAGGCAAAGAAACACACTGTAACCAAAATATCTTTAAAAAAAATTTTTTTTTTTGTTAATGGGAGGTAAACAGGTGGAAGGGGGGAGAAGGGGAAGGGTACCCACTTTCATGGTGGGTGCAAGGTGCACCACTTGAAGACTGGACATGCTTGAAGCTCTGGCAGAGCAGGGTGGTGATGGGGGCAGGGGCAAAAAATGTAACCCTAACAATATTTGTACCCACAGAATTTGGGAAAAATTAATTAATTAATTAAAAAAAAACTTTTATTGAGTCACAGGAACTACAAGCTAGGTTGGAAGAACTTATTTTATCAATATTTCAAGATCAAAGAGGTCAGAACAAGGGGAAAATAAAATTATTTTTTGACTGTAAAAAAAAATACTCTGCGGACAAGTCATCTAGTTTAATCTTGAGCATAGAATACTTAATACAAATACTATATTTATGTAGCCATTCATTTTCCTAACAATGACTAATCATAACCCCAGGAAGTCAACCAAAGTACTCCATCAAGTATAGCCACTGGCCAACCCTCTATCTCCAGTGGAAATATTGAGACTTTTTCTATTTTTAATATTTTTGCTCATTTTATACATGAATGTCTGTTTGTATCAGTGTTTTCTATCTTAAACCAAATATATAAGAATGTAATGGCCATAGCAAAGTCTGGTCAGCCTGGTCATTTCAATCATTTTAATTTAAGAAATGAATTGGAACAGCAACTTAATGATCTGATTTAAGCTACTCAGCTGGTTTGGAATTCAGAAAACGTAAGAACACATGACCTTTGGTTGCATATGTGTGGCCCATACCTATTTAAAAGGATAGGGTAAACCAGAAAAGCTATAATTCAAAACGTGGGATGGAAGAACAACTTTATCACAAGAAAATGTTTTGCTCTCAGCTGTTGAAGGCAGGGGAGGTGCTTCTGGAGAAAGACAAAATACAATCAGAGAGATAGAAGAAAATCTCCTGGCAATGTTCAAAAAAGAAGATAATACATTTCCAATTAAAGACACAGAGGTGTTCATTCATTTGTTTAACAGAACTACTCTGTGCCAGAAACCATTTTAAGTACTGGGGATACAGCAATTAACAGCAACAAAAAAAAGGGTGGTTGGATGTGATATCAGAGAAATGACCAAGAGGAAGATCATGTCAGACTCAGGCACAAATTCTTTTTTTGTTGTTGTTGTTTTTTGGGGGTTTTTTGTTCTTTGTTTTCTATTTCAGCATATTATGGGGGTACAGATATTAAGGTTTCAATAAATGCCCATTTCCCCCCATCCCCCCACAAGTCTGAATCTCCAGCATGACCATCCCCCAGATGGTGTACATCTCACTCATTATATATGTATATACCCTCCCTCCTCCCACCTCCCACCTGCCCAATACCCTATTACTGTAGTACCTATGGGACCACTTAGGTGCTACTCAGTTAATACCAGTTTGCCGGTGAGTATATGTGGTGCTTGTTTTTTTCCGTTCTTGGGAAACTTCACTTAATACTATGGGTTCCAGCTCTAACCAGGAAAATATAAGATGTGCTATATCACCATTGTTTCTTAGAACTGAATGGTACTCCATGGTATACATATACCACATTTTATTAATCCATTCTTGGATTGACAGGCACTTGGGCTGTTTCCACAGCCTTGCAATTATGAATTGTGCTGCTATAAACATTCGAGTGCAGGTGTCTTTTTTGTAGAGTGGCATTGGATCATTTGGGTAGATGCCCAGCAATGGGATTGCTGGATCAAATGGTAGATTCACTTGTATCGCTTTAAGGTATCGCCATATTGCTTTCCACAGAGGTTGAACTAGTTTGCAGTCCCACCAGCAGTGTAGGAGTGTTCCTCTCTCTCCACATCCACGCCAGCATTTATTGTTCAGAGACTTCTTGATAAAGGCCATTCTCACTGGGGTTAAGTGATATCTCATTGTGGTTTTGATATCCATTTCCCTGATGATTAGAGATGTTGAGCATTTTTTCATATGTTTGTTGGCCATTCTTCTGTCTTCTTAGAAATGTTTCTGTTCAAGTCCTTTGCCCACTTTTTAATGGGGTTATTTGATTTTTTCTTCCTGATTTTCGTGAGTTCTAAGTATATTCTAGTTATCAGTCCCTTATCGGATGCATAGGATGCAAAAATTTTCTCCCATTGTGTAGGTTGTCTGTTTACTTTCATGACTATTTCTTTGGCTGTGCAGAAGCTTTGTAGTTTGATCATGTCCCATTTATTTATTTTTGTTGCTGCTGTGATTGCCTTTGGGGACTTCTTCATAAACTCTTTGCCCAGGCCAATGTCTCGGCGGAACTTGTCAGCAGTGTCCAGCCCCTTGAGCTCTGCCAGTGAAGGGACAGAAGGTGGGGTGAGAGCCAAACTCTGTGGACCCTCCCCAGGAGTCTCCAGCATATCACGCTTCACTGCCACAGGGAAACACAGATAGTGTTCACCCTTGGCGGATCTTGTCCGCGGTTCCCAGCCCTTTGAACTCACCTGGTGAAGGGACAGAAGGCAGGCTGAGAGCCATCCTCTGCAGACACTCCCTAAGAGTTTCTAGCAGCCCAAGACCCACCACCAGGTCACGGAAAGTTTTCACCCCTCAGTGGAACTTGTCTGTGGCCTCCAGCTGCTTGAGCTCTGCCTGGGAAGGGGCATAAGAGGGAGCTAGTGCCATCTTTCGTGTATCCTCCCCAGGGGTCTGCAGCAACTAAAGCTCCACTGGTGACAAACGGAAAAGGGACAGTCTTCACCCCTCAGTGGAGATTCTCAGTGGTCCCTGGCAGCTCAAGCACAGCTAATTTTAGCTCATAATCCATTCCCTGCATCTCTGATACTCAATAAAGTGTCCAGATGAGAAAGGACCAGCAAAAGTTTACAGGAAACATGAAGGACAAGAGAGAAAATTCACCTCCAAAGCAAAATACTCATTTTTCCATCATCTGACACCAACTTACATGGTATGAGTAAACGGACAGAGGAAGATTTCCGAATATGGATTGCTGCAAAACTGAATGGAATTCAAGAGAAAATAGAAGCACAACATAGAGAAACCACAAGAACAATACAAGAAATGAATGGGCCAGACGCGGTGGCTCACGCCTGTAATCCTAGCACTCTGGGAGGCCGAGGCGTCGATTCTCAGAGAGGTCCAGGAGGTTCGAACCACCTGGCAGAGAGCGAGACCCCGTCTCTACTGTAAATGAAACAATTAATGCCAAGCTAGATTATATAGAAAAAATTAGCTGGGCATGC